TAGATAGATAGACAGATAGATAGATAGATAGATAGATAGATAGATTAACCATGATTTATCGGTCAATCAGATGCATTTGAAATCACTTTTTCGGTGTGCGTGCTTTGGTTGTGTGAGCACATGGGCGAATAAACGAGATAGGCTATGTATGACCGGACGATTTATTCATATTCAAAACGAGACGATGTGAACATTATGGAGCGCTAAACACTCTCATGCAGTGCATGTTTCATTCATACTCGAAGCCGGAGGGCGCTCTCGTGCAGAAAGTCCAAAATGGCCCAGTAGAATATATATATTTGGTAACACTTTAGAATAGGGAACACTTATTCACTATTAACTATGACTTTTCCCTCAATAAATTCCTAATTTGCTGTTTATTAATACTGTAGTTCGTAAGGTAGTTGTTCATTTTAGGTATTGGGTAGGATTAGGGTTGTAGAATAAGGTAATGTAGAATAAGGCATTCATTTGTGCTTAATTAGTACTAATAAACGGATAATATTCTAGTAATATGCATGCTAATAACCAACTAGTTAAGAGAACCTAAAAAAAGTGTTACCATATATTTCTATCATGAGAACTCTCGGGAGATTTTAGCATGGTAATGGATATGACAATGTTAATGTATTTGGTCATGGCCACGCTGCAATGCTCAAGCAAATGCTAACCAGCCATTTAAATGTAAAGCAGCAAGCTCATTGGGTGCGTATGCAACATGAACCAATCAGCTTGTGACAGATTCTTTAATGCTAAGAATATCATCAGTTACGTTAAGGACCCATCAGCCTGCGCCATCAGTTTAATGTACTGTATATTAAAATAGAAAAACGTTATTTTACATCCTAATAATATTTCACAATATTAATTTTTTTCCTGTATTTTTGATCAAATGAATGCTGCCTTGATGAGCATAAGAAACTCCTGTAAAAAAACTTTAAAAATCGTTCTGATCCCAAACTTTTGACCGGTAGTGTCTAATCTAGGGTTGCAAAAAAGGTGGAAAATTTCCAGCAAATTTCGGAAACTTTCCAGGATTTTTTTTGGCATATTCCAGGGATTTTTGGAAAGTTTCCAGAAATTTACCCTAAAATAACAACCCTACTCTAATCATGGCACCAGTATATTAGGCCTGTCATTTTAGAACGTTAATTTAATTCATTAGTTAGGAAAAAATAATGCGATAAAAATATTAACGCACCGCCGCAGACCTGTACGTCATCTTACATTTCATAGTTGACTGTTGACAAACATGATGCACTGCGTGATGTAGCCTATAAAGTGCAGTTATATGCCCTTAAAATTTAAGATATCGGGGCAAAAGTACTACAATATTGTCCAATTTTGCCAACGAAAATATTATCTACAAAACCACAGCAGAACATCTCTGAATGAATCAGCAGTTCAAATGAATCAAATAAATGAATGACTCAATGACTTTGTTGTGACAAGTCAGAAGCGTGTGGATCCATTTGCAGCTTTTATTAGAATAGTCAGACAATACAGGGTCAATACCGGCAAGGGAGAACAGCAGAGACAAGGCTGAGACAGAGTCGAGTACCAGGCGAGGAATCGGGGCAGGCGGCAAGCAAACAGAGTCCAGGTGAAACAATCCAAGTCGGGGCAGGCAGATAACAATCAGAGTAACGGGAAACAGTCCAAGAACAGATGCACAGAAAATCAAACACGGGTAAACGCTCGGAACTGACAGCCAGGGCAAATCAAGACTTCGCAGAGAGTCAGCGAGTGTGAGTGGTTTATATGTGTGTGTGTATATGAGGTGCAGGTGTGGATGATTAATCAGTCCCAGGCATGAGGGGTGATGGGATTTGGAGTCCGAATGGGAAATGGCTAATATTCGGGAGACGGTTCCCTCTGGTGGTGCGGAGGAGGCGGTACGGGAGCCTCCTCTGTAACAGACTTACTCATAAAGACATTTACCACCACCTGCTGGCAATTTTAGTTTCTTATTTAGTGTATACTTTAAATAAATAAATAAACAAAGTGATAGTTCACCCAAAAATAAAAATTCTGTCATCATTTACTCACCCTAATGTCGTTTCAAACCTTTATCACATACTTTCTTTTGTGGAACATAAAAGAAGGTATTTTGAAGACTGTTGGTAACAAAGCTGTTTTGGTTACCAATGACTTTCATTGTATGAACAAAAAACTCTGAGATGTTTCTGAAATTATTTTCTTTTATGCTCCATAGTTATGTTAGGCCACTGTAGCCTAAACGTGCAAAACATTTTATGTTGAATCAAATAAAATATTTCTTTTCAAAGCTACTTTTTTGTGATGTCTACTTGATATTTTAAAAATTTTAATCAAGTGACATCCCTGATACTATATATATAACAACAACAACAAAAAAGGTTATGTCATTTAATCTACCAATCAATATAAATTCAATTTGAACATCTGTAGATGTTCATTCTGTCTTCAATAGAATGAATGGGATTCCGTGCTGTTTCATGCTGCATTCCAAGCTTCAAAACGACACCAAACATATCATAAAAGTAGCCAAAACAACTGGCAAAGTTCTCCAAGTTATGCAAAAAGTGTGAATTCTAGGAGAATTCGGTGTCATTCAGTTGCTAAATTAACGGGCTGCTGCACGCAGTTTTTTTTTTTTAACGGAGAATCAGTTGCCTTATTGGTTGAAATCCCCAAACGGTTTACTTAAATATTAAATGAAGAAATTATATTAAAATTCAAAGTAATCACTTTGGTATATATATATATATATATATATCTATATATGAATGATGCAAATAACAAATATATACAAAATTATATTTCTGTATATTAAACCATATTATTGAAAATATACCATAGTATGAAATATAGTGTTAAAACTAGGGATGCACCGATACCACTTTTTCCAGTACTCGCCCGATACCGATACTTTTGTTTTTGGTACTTGCCGATACCGAGTACCGATACCGATATTTTTATTGCATTTGTACATTTCTTAAATATTGGGTACAGAAACCAAAAGAGTATGTATAATGTTACGGGGCATTTTAACGAGTACGAGTACGAGTACGAGTACAGGAGAACAGTATCGGGCCGTATCGGTGCATCCCTAGTTAAAACTAATATAGATATTAAAAACCTATATAATGTAATATAGTACCTCCAGCAAAATGGTGGCTATGTCCAGATTTCCCTTTAGACAAGCAAGAATCAGCGGTGTGTTTCCATACTGATCTTTCTTGTTCAGTTTGGCATTACACTCCAACAAAGCAGACACCACCTGTAACACACACACACACACAAGCTCAAACTACAGATGTTTAAAAGAAACAGTTCAACCACAAAATGAAAAATCGTACTCATGTTCTGCATTCACAAAATGTGAATTTTTGAAAATATCCTGGTCACTCTTTAGAACATGAGCCAGACCTATTTTATGATACTTTTACATCCTTTATGAAGCTTTACAACCCCATTCCTCTTTTTATTATTATTATTATTATTTTTCTTTTTAATTTGGAAAAACAGGGTGAGTATATGATGACAGAATTTTGGGGTTATTTACTATTATTTTAGTAAATGCTTAAACAGCTTTTGGTCTTTAAAGTAATCAGGATTCTTTGATGAATAAAAGGATCGAAAGAACAGCATTTATTTGAAATCGTTTGCAACATTATATGTCTTTACTGTCATCATTTAAATGCATCCTTGCTCAATAAATATATAAATTTGTCAAAAATCTTACTGACACTGACGAGTGTATATATATAAATGAAAGTGCACAATATGTTGATATATATTATACTGCAGGGCCGTTGAATGCTTGAATCTGAAGCTGTTTTATTATGTTTTATTATGTACAGAAAGCACATACTATTTCTCCTGCTCTCTCTCCCTTACAGACGCACACACACACACAGAAACACACACGTGCTAATGTTGTTAGCGCTACTCTGACGATTTTATCAGTAAAATAGTTTAGCTACTGGTTAAACACTGGCTTCAAAGCAGTGATGTTGTTATGAGAGGAGAGCTGTGATTGGTCGGGATCTGCGCACCTGTATGTGGCTGTTCTGGCAGGCCAGGTGAAGCGGCG